ATCAGATTGGCCCCTTGGTCCTGCAGTGAAGTTTCAGAAAGTTTTGGGGGCTCTTTGAGATTAATTGTCTTGTGCGGTCCTACAGTGAAATTTTCCCTTTTAAGATTTAACATGACAATATTTACGTTTCAAGATTTTCCTTTCAAAAAATATTACTAAATAAATTTACTGATCAAATTATGTAATCATTTAAATGACAATTACTGTATTTCTTTTTCTTTTGCCATCAAATAACAAGTATTTCTTATGTTGGTTTTAATCACCATTCAATGTTATTCATATTGAAAAAGTTTCAATTTGAATTCAAGATTTGAAATTTAATTTTTATATAATCAATTTTATTTTGCATTTGGCTAATATTCCCATCATGAGACATTCAAAGGTTTATAACCACTTAAGAGAATAATACTACCTTCGGTTGTTAATATAAGAGTTAGTTGATTAATTTGAGTAAATTAAGAAAACTAATTAAGTTAGTTATTTGTAATAAATAGATTATGTCTTTCCTAAAATATTCTTACTAATCAGTTGTATTGGCTAGAATAACCATTATTATAAGAACTACCCTAAAAAAATAGATAAGTATGAGAGACAAAATAAATTGGAGTCTTATATTTATGATCAAAATAAAAGTTAAACAAGCTCTTACATTAAGAACTATTTCTTTTGGTCCTCAATGGTAAAGCTAAATAACTAATTTATATATATATCAAATAAATTTATTAAGTTAATTATTTATAATAAATATGTTTTAATTTTTCAAAAATATCCCTTCAGTCATTATCTCAGGAATAAAAATTCTCTTTAATGTGCAATCAATAACTTAAAAAAATTTATAAATTTTAGAGACAAAAGATATTGAGATATCAATTTAAGAGTTAACTCTTACATTTACAACTATGGCAAGAATATTGAAAAACGTCTCTTGCTGTATTTTTCTACAATTCTTTGCATCCTCTCACACAAACTTTACAAAAATTAAAAATAAAACAAGCCTTATGAAGAAAGACTCGTGTATTCCCCCCCCCCCCAAAAAAAAAAAGACAAAGAAAGAAAGACTCATGCCCCAACCTTTTCGGAACTCCTAGTCGTCCAAGTAAGTTGTGCTAAATTTAACTAAATATTTTTATTTCATATGAATCAACACCTTGTATTTTTTTGGGCCTTCCATTTTTTTTGACCTGAGGGGTTTTCCAATTTAACCCCTAGAGATAAGGGTATATTTGTTAATTTATAATTACCTCCTCTCCTCTCCTCTTATGAACCAAACAAGATATCTCATCTCTCTTCTCCTCCCCTCCAACCAAACAAAACCTATGACCTTTTTTCCCCTCCTCTCCCCTTCCTTTAATTAACCTCCCCTCTCCTCCTTTCCGTTGAACCAAACAAAGCCTAAGTATATACGAATTTTTAAAAGACATATTGACCACTTAATTTGGGACGCCCTTGTGTAAAAGGCTTGTTGAACGGTTTAGTTTAAGACCCTCTTTTTAATTATGACCATTTGATTGTTTGAATTAACTTGGTTGAAGTTTTTGAAGGACTTGAAAATTGGGAGGAAAGTGAGGGAAAAAAAAATGTATGAATGAACTTCTATATATATAGATATATATATATAAATACATACTTGAAAATTATTTTTTTGGGAGAAATTGGTGGATTCAAGCGCTCATTATACTTTTTTTTTGGTCCTCTTTTACTTCGTATTTACAATATTTCATTGATCCTTATTTTTTTATTGGTTTTTAATGACGTCAAATGAAACAGTGAAACACAAAATTGGTAAAATAAGGAGGAGGGAAAACTAAAGATAAGATGTTATCATCTCTCTTCTTTGGATAGACGAGAGAAAATAGAAAGGAAGAAATGAGCAAATATCTAAATAATTAAAATATCCTTATTAAAATATATCATATTTAAAATTAAATCAAATTAAATATTGCAATAGGAACATTTTACTAACATTAGCATCATCAAATAATTTAAAATCAATTTATTTGGTTTACATATATATATATATATTCATATTATCATATTGTAAAAAGGAGAGGAGGGACATTCACAAAAATCTTATTTTTCTTCCCAAACCTCTCAATACATAAAGAGAAAATTTGAAAAGCAAATGAGACGCGTGGCCCATTTTATTTTCTGCCCACTTTTTTACTATGCTTGAATGGGAAGAAAAGTTGGGAGAAAAGAAAATGAGAGGAGAGAAATATAGAGAAGGAAAAACTAGAAAGAAGATGTTATCATCCTCTTGTTCGGATAGATGAGAGAAAAATATGGAGAAAAGAAAATGAGTAAATATCTAAATAACTAAAATACCCTTATCAAAATATATCATATTTAAAATTAAATCAAATTAAATATTGCAATAGGAATATTATACTAACATTAGCATCATGAAATAATTTCAAATCAAGTCATTTGGTTTATATATATTTTCATAGTATTATATTTTAAAAGCAAATTATTTAATAAAAAACATTCTTGTAAGATAAAAAATAAGAAGTGAATATTTTTTTAAATAAAATAAAATAAAATAAATGTGAGAGGAATAGAGAGGAGGGACAATCAGGAAAATCTTGTTTTTCCCCCCCAAGTCTCCATATTTGGAGAGAAAATGAGATATGTAGTTTATCTCTTTTTTTTTCCTGCTTTTTCTTCCTCCCATATTTTCTCTCCTATCCAATCCTAAAAAAATTTAGCCTATGTTGAATTGGTGGATACATGTATCAATTAAACAAATTTCATTAGGATGAGGATCAATTCAATTAGAATCGATTTTGAAATAATTCATTACATTGATATTTAGAAAACTCATTTCTCCTCATATTTTTCTCTCTAGTTTTCTTTCCTCCCTAATTTTATTTTAATCCAAGCAAGGGGTTCCTTCCTCCCATATTTTCTCTCATATCCAAGTAAGAGAAAAAAAAACTGATTTCTCTCCATATTTTTTAGCTAATTTTCTTCCTTCTCTAATTTTCTCTCAATCTAAGGGGTAAAAAAAACCAAACAAAAGAATTTATGAACTTACAAAAACAGGTGTCACGTATGTTGTGATAGGCTAAAACGGTTTCAAGCCCATGGTTTTCATGAGAGGAGGAGCCCAGTTGAATGTTAATTGTTAAGTAATAAAGCAATTATGACTCGTGTACCAACAAGTGTTGGTCTAAGTAGAAATAGACACCTTAAATATCATGTTCTGGGCTTGATCTTTAAGACAGTGTGTATGGAAAAAGCATTGCTGGGAGGTGTCCCCTCTATGGTGCTTGAAAATATCTCAAGAGATTAGTCTCTTACCGTTCGAGTGGAAATATACTCTAGGCAACCAAAAAAAATTAAGGCTCGTGTTTTGCATTGTCATATTTTCAATTTTAAGAGTTTGGCAAAAACAAGAAAAAATTGTTTAGAGTTTAAAATTTGAAATAAAATCATTTCACTTATTTTAAATTCTTGCTTGCAGCATCATGCATTGATCATAAAGTCTCGAAGTAGAAAGTGATTTTCATATATTTATAAAAACCTAAAATCATTTAATAGAACTTTAAATTAAAGAAACGAACAAGCTAATAGTTTCTTTAATTTATTAATTAAACGAGAAAGGTTGAATGGTTGATAACTAATTCAAATAACATAAGTTGATGACATGTCAGTACCAAAAAGAAAAAAAGTTGCTAATATGTGGAAAAAATTTTATTCACGTGATGATCAAATAGTACATAGCATACAATGAAGGCAAAACACTTGAAGTTCATTAAAAAAGAAAAAAGACAATAACTTGCATTAAAATAAATAGTACATTACATTCCAATTACTGACAAGATATCTAAGAAACATGAAATAATAACCATAGTGGAAACATGAGGAAAAAAACAGATGACACAATATATCACATGAAGCCACATTTTGTGCCTAATTCACTCTTCTTTGATTCTGATGGGCTACTTTCCTTGTCCTTTTTGCTTGTTTCCTAGGCCTAGCTCGAAAAATTCTGACAAGCCCTTTAGGTTTTCCAGTTAAGAAAACAACTTGACCCATGAATATTCCAAACACCATCCCACATATATATCCCAAAGCCACTGGTTTCCAACCAAATCCAAATTCGTCATTACTTGATGAAGTTGGTTGTGGCAATTTCCCTTTATCATGATTACATGCTTTTGACAATTGAAATCCACACAATCCTAAATTTCCCTCAAAAGAATATTGTGAAAATGTATCAAACTGCTTACCTCTCGGTATTTCTCCGGCAAGCTGATTTTGTGAAAGATTCAAAACTTCAAGAAAGTTGAGATCTGCTAGTGCAAGAGGAATCTCACCTTTAAGCAAGTTTGATGATAAATCCAACGATTCTAGGTTTGTCAAGTTTGCAATGGATTGAGGAATAGGACCGGTGATTTTATTGTGGGAGAGATTAAGCCCCTTAAGTGAATGCAGCTCACCAATAACATGTGGAATCTCTCCATCAAACATGTTTTTTGACAAATCAATGGATGTGAATGTAGTTATGATCTTTACCAACTCCAAATCAACACCTTTCAATGTGACCATCACTGATTCTTGATAAGAAGTATAACGGTTTTCTAAGTAAGCTAGTCCGATTGAAATAAAGTCAACATTCATCATTCCTTTAAATTCCTTGATGTATGTTGTTGGCAAAGATCCTCTAAAGCGGTTGTTGGAAACATCAAAAATTCTTAACATGGGAAAAGGATGTTTGGTGTTGGAACTATGAATGGCACCGTAGAACTTATTATCTCTTAAAATGAGTACCTGTAGCTCTGGTAATCCTTCAAGCCAATTAGGAAATTTGTCGTTGATATTGTTTGCTCCCACATCTAAAATTTCTAATTGCTTGCAATGGGTCAAAGACAAAGGCAACCGTCCCTCAAATTGATTGTTGTTCAAATGCAAAGATTCCAAAGAATTGCTCCTAGAAAAATTGTCCGGTATAGATCCGACAAAATTATTCATCTGCAGATCTAAAGTCGTAAGATCTAGGAGAGCAACAAGGCACTTTGGGATGTGGCCTGACAAATTGTTGTGAGATAAGTTGAGTATTATAAGTGAGCTCGCATTGCAAAATGAAGAAGAAATGTGTCCACTGAATTTGTTGTTGGACATTGAAAAGACTTCAATGCCAAAGGATGGAATTAGGAGATTTCCTTGCAACAAGTTGAAGCTGAGATCAAGTGCAAACAAGTTTCTCATTGAAAGATGTTCAACTGATGTCAAGTTATTATGAGAAAGATACAAAGCACTCAAAGAACCATTCCCCACATTATTGAACCATTGGGGAATATCTCCATGAATTTTGTTATTGGAAAGATTTAACTCCTTCAAATTTTGAACACTTCCTAATTGTTTAGAAAAGTCATTGATGTTGCAAGAGGATAGATCTAACAGTGTAAGATTGGGAATGGTATAGTGAACATCATTATTAGAGCTAAGCGAGAGAAACTTGTTGTTTGAAAGATCAAGATATTCTAGATTTTGAAGCTTTGAGAATGGATGAAGACTAATAGGGCCTCTCAAATTATTTGATGACAGACTTAGAACGGAAAGATTTAGGAAACCAAAAATTGACTCAGGAAGACCTTGCAACTTATTATCATCAAGGTGTAACCGACGCAAATTTGAAAGGCCTACAAATTTTGGAAAGACAGTGATATGACAAGAATCTAAATATAAGACCTTAAGATTGGGAATGGTGTAGTTAAGATTATCATCAGAGGTAAGTGAGAGAAACTTGTTGCTTGAAAGATAAAGACTTTTTAGATTTTGAAGCTTGGAAAATTGGTAAAAATTAACAGAGCCACTCAAGTTATTTGATGATAGTTTCAAATGAGAAAGATTTATGAGGGTAAAAATTGACTCAGGAAAATTACCTTGCAACTTGTTGTCAGAAAAATCAAGAAATTCCAAATTTGAAAGATTTCCAAATACATCTGACGACAAACTACTAAAATAATTGTAACTGAGGTACAATGAAGTGAGACTTGGCATATTTGGAAGAAATGAGAGCTTACCACTAAAAATGTTATCTGCAAGGTCCAAATAAGTTAATCGAGTGAGGTTCTCAAAATTCACAGGGATAGGCCCATGAAATTCGTTATACTGAAGACCCAAAAAATCAAGGGACTTCAAATGGCCTATGGAATTTGGTAAGAGACCACTAAAATAATTGCCACTGAGGTCCAATGAAGCAAGACTTTGAAGATTTGAAAGAAATGAAAGATCACCACTAAAATTATTTGCTGCAAGGTTCAAATCAATTAATTGAGTGAGGTTCCCAAAACTTGTAGGAATAGGGCCATCAATTTTGCAACCTTCAAGACTCAAAATATCAAGCAACTTCAAAGACAAGGAGCTTGGTGCAATGGAAGACATATTTACATGATCTAAGACAAGTTCTCTTAGATTAGTCATGTTTAGAGCAAGCTTCTCCCAAGTGGATGGTTCAAGTCTTAAACCCAACCATTCATCATATGGGTAGAATTCATTCCTAGACAAATCAAGAGAGACCAACTTGGACAATTCTGCAATTTTAGGAGGAATTTCACCAACAAAACAAGAACAGCTTAAGTTTAGATGGACGAGAATGGAAAGATCACCAAATTGAGGTAATATCAAAGACCCACTAAAATTGTTGAAAGCCAAGTTGAGTGCTTGGAGATGAGAAAGTCGGAAGAGGCTATTGTTTGGATGGAGTTGACCTTGGAGCCAACTACAGCTAAGGTCAAGGCCAATCACATGACCAGACGTGGAGTCACACGTGATCCCATCCCACAAGCAACAGTTTGAATCATTTCCCCACAAAGCTGTCTTTGGGTAAGATGGGTGCTTAGACGGTATAGTAGAGGTGTCGCCATTATCATCATAATAATAAAAGTAATTACACTCCTCTGAAGCAGAGTGATCAAGAGAGAGAGAATTTTTAAAATGAAGAAGGGCAATGGAATCATGAGAGTTACATAATGGGGGGTTGAGAGAAGAAGAAAGGGAAGGAGAAAGAAGGAACAAGTAGAAACAAATGATGATTCGAAATGCCATGAGCGAAGTTAGAAGGCTATGAATATGAAGGAGTGAAGGATATGGTATCTAACATATGAGGCTTCTTTTATAGGCAAAGCTACGCAAGATAAAAGGTTTGTCATGATAATCGCCGGCTCAAGTCACTTTCTTCTTCCAACTTGGATTGAAGAATTTGATGGGAGCTAAAATATAATCGGAATTGAATAAAAAAACTAACATGAATTATTGTTGCCATTAAAAACTGGTTGGCTTCAGTATATAAACCATGGGCTTATGAACACAAATTAATTTTAGTGCACTGTGTATTCAATTCTTATAATTCCTAATTGTAAATAGTATTATAAGCCTTTTTTTTTTTCCTACCATAACAGAATTATAAGTGAAGGTTTTGATTTCTATTATTTAACGCTAATACATTCACTGACATGTTGGCCATGACAAACAGATTTGCTGATAACATCACTATAGCCCTTACTCATAATCTAATATTTCTTTGTATTATAGCTTTAATATAGAATAATATTCCCAAGGTAAGGGCCTGTATACTAGCAAGTTATTAAAAAAACTATTTTTGCAAAAAATAATTAAACTATTTTATTTAATGACTAATAATTAATAGTACTGTCATGGTCGATGAAAATGAAATATTAAAAATAAAAGAAAAATTTGCGCAACCCAATTTTAATTTTATAGAAGGCTTACGTATTACGTACATCTTTTAAATGGAATAGAAATTTCTATAATTAAGGAAAATAAAAATAAGTTCATTATATCATATATATCGAGAGAGGGGTAGAGGCTACCAAAAAAAAAGTTATGTTTTCTTGGACATTAAAAAAAATGACAGACTTATTAAGAGAATTAACTAAAAATCTATTTTACATTTTACAACAGAATATTCCCCTCATATACTTATTTTGAAAATATAAAATCACTTAAAATAAATTAATTCAAATATTCACTTGACTAAACAAATGGTCCTGGCAACACGTCGAACGTGTTTGACTGAACGAAGGTTGAATAAACTTTTCTAAAAATTTGTGGTGAAAAGTTTTGAAAATGAATGTTCATATATAATTTAATAATTACTAATGTAGTCAAGAAATATGGAATTTTGTGAGGTCGGTCAATTTTCAATTTGATAATTATATTTTACGCTAAAATCAAAAACAGTTTCAATTAAGAACTTGAACAAAGTGAAATATGAGAGACCTTATAACAGACTCTTTTGAAAAAGTAATTATATTTCAAAATTACTATCCTGATCATTAACATAAGACCCAGTTACATAATTACATGTTACATAATCTCTCTAAAATATTTATGTATATCATTAGATTATATATTAATTTATAAAAGTAAAAAGATAAATATAAATATATCAAGGTAATTTATTAACTTTCTCAATCTTCTCAAACAAGTCAATTAGATTTTATATTAAGGATTAAAGGTAGTATTTGAATACAAGGAGGATGGCAGAAATATAAAGATTACCATATTATCCCCCAAAAAAAATGGCATTATTTTTTGGTCAGATTTTTTTCGGCTTTATTTGAATGGCGTGCTAAAAGGTTTGGAAGTGAGAAACTTCAAAATGGTCCTTCATTGTCCAGCTGCCATTAATTCATTTTGGTCCCAAAATTTTGATTTTGAGTATACACCCACACAGAAATAGTATACCGTATGTTTGATATTATAAAGGGATAATTAATCTCCAGGTCCTTATAGTTTCATCTGATTTTTAATTAGGTCCTTATAAAATTTTTTCTTTTTATCAGATCCTTTTACTTTCATGTGTTTTTAATTAGGTCCTTCTATTTTATTTTCTTTTTATCAGGTCCTTATAGTTTCACTTATTTTTTAATTAGGTGCTTTGTAGTTTTTGAAAAATTATTTATTAACTTTATTCTTTAAAATTAATTTCATTTTTAAATTAATAATTATATAATTGGAAAAAATAATTAATATAATCATTTAGTAATTAATAAATAATCAGAATAATAATTATACTTAAATATAAATTATTTATAATCATATTTTAATTTTAGATAAATTTATTATTATAATTTGAATTTTATAATTATAAAAATTTGAATTGAAAATAAATAATATATTTTTTAACTAAAAATTTAAAAGAATATTAACATAAGATTGTTACAATAATTTATTATTTTTTAAATGTTATTATTTGTAAAATAAAGAATAAAAACTAGAAGGACCTAATTAAAAACAAAGTAAAACAATAAGGACCTGATAAAAAGAAAAAAAATTATAAGGACTTGATTAAAAATATATGAAAGTATAAGGATCTGATAAAAAGAAAAAAAATTATAGGGACCTAATTAAAAACCAGTTGAAACTATAAGGACTTATATATTAATTATCCCTATTATAAATTAAAAGGGGAAATGAAAAAATAATTTTGTTTGATAAAATTTAATTCTTATGAGCCTATTTTGAAATAATCATTTAAAAAAATGAAAAAGAGGGAATAATGATTATATCAATATATATAATAAATATGTGCCCTAAAAAATTTTCAGTTACGGATTATTTTTCCATAAGCGTACCAAACGGGGAAGAAGATGTGCCTTTTTTGGGGTAAAGAAGACTTGCCTTTTGCGATGCGACTGAAATGAAAAATAAGAATTGCCATTTTGTGTTTTTAGTAAATTGTTAACAAATAAAAAACAATACTAAATTATCTTATCCACTCATTTCAGTTGCTTCCTCAACCTTCACTAACTGTTTATCATCAATTGGACTTGAATGGTTATAAATTTCTTGTTATTGGCTAGAGAAAGTAAGACTTTTCTCCTCCCCTTGAATATACCTTACACTACACGTTACAAAATAATAGCTGCACATATATGAGAAAATTAAGGAAAAAATCCTCCATTTAAAATTCTACTTGTGTGAAAAACATAATAATTTTTTATACACAAAAAGTACCGATATTTTTTACTTTGCAAATTCTGTACATACAAAATATCGGTACTTTCATTTAAGTCTTTTTCACTAATAAAATTTTCAATTGGAGACTTTGACCCCATTTTACAAAGAAATTATAGATGTATTTGATATTAGAAATGAAGGGGGGAAATTAAAAAATAATAATTTTACTTAATAAGATTTAATGTTTATGCCCCTATTTATAAAGAAAAAAATATTTGAAACAATGAGAAATGGGGAATAATGATTATATCACTATAACAAACCCAATACAAAGTTCTCATTTACAGAGTAGTCTTCCATTAGCGTACCAAACGGGCCAGAAGACTTGCCTTTGCCAATTAATTATGATTGAAATGAAAATGAAAGAAAGAAAATTAATGTAGAGACAAATAAATTCTTAGAAAATGAAATATTAAATTATCTTCTTGACCCATTTGGGTTGACTCCTCATGACACAAATTCTTCTCTTCAATATGTCGGGTTGATCTCATGTCGCAAAGGTTTGGAAGCGGAACATCTTCACTAATTTCCCTCCTCACTTTAACAGGTGAGATTTATTCAGTAAAAAAGGTTATTATAATATTAAATATTAAACAATAAAATAGATAGATAAATTTATAGTATTAAAATTTGATGTGAATAGTTTGCAATTGTAAATTTTTTATTATATTTAATATTATAATATTTTTATATAGTTTCGAATTTCAACCATTAAAAGTTAATATAATGATAGAGATATTAAGTGAAAAGAAAATGAAGAGAAAAGTTAGTGAAAATGCTTTTCTCACGATTTGGAAACCCTTATTAATGCTTTATGATCAATGCATGGCTGAAAATCCTCACATCAATTTTAACCCTAAAATTCTAAAATTTTTACAATAACTATACCGTTACATTTTAGTTATTTACATACAACAAGGTATTGTATTGTGGCACGAAAGACCCAAATTCTGTTTAATGAAGTAAATGGAGGTGAAAACATAAATTTAAAGAAATTATGGAGAAACAAGTTTTTTCAAATAACACGTATGTCCACCAAGGTTTACGGGTCAATGTCCATTATGTGCGTGTCAAGTGGTGAATTTCTAAGATTCCATTGGCAACTGTTGAGGCCGACAAAACTTGAAGACTTCGCAAATCCAAAACAAAAATTGAACAATTTGTCTCAAACATTCATAAATTGATATTTGCGTGTGTGAGTATAAACACGTTACATTACGCGAATCATGTACTTAATTTCCTATTAAACCTTAAATTCAAAATATTTTTATTAAGGATTGTTTTTCCATTAGCGTAACAAACAAGGGAGAAGACTTGACTTTGTGATTGATTGATGAAATAAGAATGAATCAAAAGAACAAGAAAAGGCGTCAAGGACAAGTACATGGCCACATTTAAGCCTGACGGAATGTTGATTCAGCTTTTTCTGAAAATTTCTGAAAATTAGTGATCATATATAATCTCATATAATTACTAATATGGTCAAGAAATATGGAATTTTGTGAGGCAGATCAATTTGATATTTTTATTTTATGCCAAATAAACAAAAATTTCAATTAAGAACTTAAAGTGAAATATGAGAGATCTTTTATAACATACACTTTAGAAAAAGTAACTAAATTTGAACATTATTTGAATATTAGGAGTGGGGCAGAGATATGAAGAGATTACCATGCCATGAACAAATTTTTTTTGGGTATTATTTGAACGGTGACAATATTTAAAGTGATCCTTCATTGTATAAATCTCAAACCGTCAAACACGTTAGAATACGCAATACAAAATAATGGATAATAATAATACACACACACACAGAGAAATAGTTTAAATCATAAATATATGCCCAAAAAATTTGTGAACATTGGATCAAGGTCGTCACTCAAACGAATTAAATACAATTTTTTTTTTGAAATTATTAAATTAATTTGAACTCTCAAAATATCTTATTGCACGAGATTTTACTTGTTTAATTATTAAATTATTCTCATTTTTTTAAAGTATGAGTCGTCAACAATTTAAGATATAACTATTAATAACTATTGCAGTATGTATTAACAACTTAT